AGTTTTGCTAACCATGTGAAATTCTTGTACTGAACAATGGTTCCTGCCCAGCAGAATATAGGAGATCTGTAGTTATACACAGAGAAAAAGTTATTTGTGTTTCAGTAAAAAAACAGTGTAGAATAGTCTTTTAAAACACCCCATTTTTTCTGCTATTTTTTGATTAATTATGATTAAATTGAGGAAACAAGTGAAATACATTTCTACTTAAATTTAATAATGGCCGTAGCCATGTTCATTTCTAATTGTGTCAACTTTGTTAATAATCCAGACATTGTTACATTTAAGACAGGTTCTCTAGCATGTGTGGTACATAAATTAACACATTTCATCTTCAATAATGAATAATTTTATAAGCCAGGGTTCTGGTTTCATTTCTATTGTTGTTATAAAATGGGCTGGTCTCCCCCCACATAACAAAAAAGCCACTTTTGTAAGAAATGAGTTTATTGAAATTTCAATCCCAAGTTATTGTCCATTGTTGTGAGGAACTTAAGAAAGGAACTTCAAATAAGTAGTAGCATTACATTCACAATAAGAGCAGGGGGGCTTTTTCCGTTCTCTTCGGTTCTCGCCGCTGTAATCTCCAATGCCGAGCGCCCATCACCATGCCTCGGAAAATTGAGGAAATCAAGGACTTCTAGCTCACGGGCCGGCGGAAGGATGCCAAATCTGTCAAGATCAAGAAGAACAAAGATAATGTGAAGTTCAAGGTTCGCTGCAGCAGGTACCTTTACACCCTGGTCATCACAGGCAAGGAGAGAGCCGAGAAGTTGAAACAGTCCCTGCTCCCTGGTTTGGCAGTAAAAGAGCTGAAATGCAGCAGACCTCTGTGTTTGACTGTTAAAAACTCTAAAATAAAATAAAAAAATAAAAAATAAGAAAAGAGCGGGGGGAAAGGAAGTGCATATATATTCAATGATTATTTGTTTGATTATGACCACTACATTTCTCTATTCTTAGGCAGCTCATGTCTCCTTGTCTAGGGAATGATACTATCATAGTGAGCAAGTTTTTATTACATAAACAAACTTAAGTAAGAAATTCCCTACAGATATACTCAGGCCATCCCAGCTTCAGTATGGAGAAACACCTAAAGTGATAGGCTTTCAGTTTTCCTTCAGAAAAAAACAGGAGGAAAAACTGATGTTTGGCCTTTGTAGGTTTTCAGAGGGTAGCTAGAAGTTCTGTTGCATTTTTTTTTTTTTGGTGGGGGGTCTGGACTAATCAAATAGCATTGAGGATATAGATTTCAGTATTTTCAGTAATTATCTTGTAATCTTAACAGTATACATGCAAGACCAAAACTCAGTAGAGATTCATCAATTCTGTGTCTTAGTAAATTGCTGTGAAAGGTATCTTCTGATTTCTGATAAATACAGAAAGGTGATATAAGGTCGAAAGGTAACCTTTAAGCTCAACTATAAGAAGGGAAGATAACCTCCTGAAACAAAGGAGGCTGTTATTCTTATTGTAAGATAAAACATCACATTTTGCTCACTTTAATAAATAAGGTTGGTTGCCCCAACTGTGGTTACCACAGCTGCATAGTATGTAAAGGATCACATGTAAGTGGAATAAAAATAGGCAAGAAGTATGTCTTGGGATATATGCTTGCCCATGATTGGCAGGAAGGTAAAAGTATGGTAGTTTTGTGTATTCTATCTTTATGAGCATCTGACAGACCTAAATCAGTGCCATTCTCTGTAAACCCTGGGTTTTTACCTGTCTGGTTTCTAACTTCCTGGCAACTTTTAAATAAAGCTCACATTAACTGGACAATTACGGATTTGGTCTTTCACTTTGCAATTTTCAGGTTAACATTTGGAGAGCCTAGTCAAGTCAGATCCTTTGCTCCGGGCCCCTTCAGAGGCCAGTGAGCCACCTACAAGGTGTGAACTTTAACCTTGCTAACTCGAGGTTTCAGGGGGTGCCCTTGATATGACCATGCTTACAAAGGGAGTTAAAAAGCATTTATTTTTCTTCTTAAGCAAAGTCTCTTTCTGGTAATTTATAATTAATTTTTGAATTGTTCATATGTCATCTGGCTTCTGCGGTATCTGGCAACCAGGCAACCCAAAAAGTCATCAGCCCTGGACAAAGGGAGAGTTTGTATGGACCTCTGACAATTTCTCATTAATTGGAAGTTTACACAGAGCTATCAGGTTTTTTTTTTTTCTGAACTTCCTTGTAATACTGAGATCTTCCTGGTGAAGAGTGGGCCAGGAATAAACACAGAGGAGCCTGACACCTAGGTATTCACTAGTGGGGTTTCAATGTGTAGGCTGCACAGCAGAACTGAGGAATCATAAAGACATCCAAAGGACATTAGGGATCAAACCAAAAGAGTTTGGAGAGTCTCTGTGCTGGAAGCCAGGCATTGTGATAGCCAAGAAGAACCTGGAAAGGCTTATTCTCTGGTGAGTATCCAGTGAGTGGATTGTGGGGGCAGGCAATTAAAGGGAGTGGATTTCTATTTGTTAAAAAAAATTTCTTGGTCAAACTGGAGAATTGGTGAATGATCCCAATTATTGTTGTCATGTCTTGTGTTTCCTGTTGTAATTTTTTTCTTGTGTTTTGCCTATTTATTATGTACCAACTTGGGGCAACTGAAATGGATGAATGACATTGGTAACAAGACTGGTAAATTTGAAAACCCTCTGTTTTATGTTCTGAAAATTTCCTCCTCCACATAAGGAAGATTTTGGCTATCCTATCACCAAGATGTGCTGCTCTTGGAGAAGTCACTCCACAGACAGTGGAATTTTGGGGACATTCTGTTCGGTGTAAGTATGTGGCAGGTATGTGCATAGTGGATACAGTGTAATCCTCAGGACTGGGCTCAGGGATTGGTGGGCATATTTGAAGGATGGGTAGAAGCCTGTGGACTGACCCCTCTATATGTAGTTGCTACAGTATAACCAGAGTTAAGGTGTCTGCCCACTGCGTAGCTGGAGCACCTCTGGATCCAGCACTGTGCTCCATAACTCCTTACTGTGGCAGTTCAAGGATTCTGTCAGCTGCTCTTTTTGTTTTCCCCTGCAGCAGAAGGTTTCACTGCTATCTCTTTCCTCTTTGATGCAGACAAGCACTATAGTCTACTTGGCTGAGGGGGGTAAGAAAGAAGGAAGGATTAAAAAAAAAAAAAACCACGGTGAGTTATCAAATACACATATTGGATTCAGCTGCAGCAACTTCTCTGCAGACAATTGAAGCTACTGAGGCCAGTGAGTTGAAGGCTGCAAAGATTGATTGAATCCTGCCAAGATGGGATCCCCTTGGTATTATAGCACTGAAGGAGTTAGGGAATCATTCAGTGATTACTGTCAGGCTCTGATAGAAGGTTTTATTTATTTATTTATTTTTGCACGTGTGGATGAGTCTATATTTTCCGATGTGTCCATAAATTTTGTGACAAATAGAAGCCATGACAAAGTGGGTTAGGCTCAGCTGAATGTGTGAATGATAGCATATTTTGTTTCTGACTGGTCTCACTGAGTGTGTGAATTTTTTGTATTATGTATTTATTGAATTTGGCTTGCTGTCTCTGCCAATGTCAGCACTTAGACACCATTGCAACCATAACTTTTTTGATGGCCAGGGCTCAGAATTTGTCTCTGAACTTTCTGTTTACTATGTTCAGTTTAGCAGGAACACACACACACACACACACACACACAATTTCCATTCAAAAATTTACACTTCCTCCGCTCCTCCCATTCCTTTCCTGCTGCTTCCCCACTCACACTCCTCCCTCCCACTTCCTCCTTAAGAGAGGGCAGGGAACCCTGCCCTGTGGGAAGTCCAAGGCCCTTTCCCCAACATCCAGGCCTAGGAGGCTTTGCATCCAAATAGACTAGGGCCTCCCAAAGCCAGTACGTGCAGTAAAAACAAGTCCCAGTGCCTTTATCAATGGCTTCTCAGTCAGCCCCCATTGTCAGACAAATTCAGAGAGGCCAGTTTGATCCTGTGCTCATTCAGTCCTGGTCCAGCTGGATTTGGTGAGCTCCCTTTAAAAAGGCACACTGTCTCAGTGGGTGGACCAACCCCTCAAGCACCAGACTGCCTTGCTCATCTTTTCCTTTCTTCTGATCTTCAACTGGACCTTGGGAGCTCAGTCCATTGTTCTGATGAGGGTCTCTGTCTATCTCCATCCATCGCCTGACAAAGATTCTATGGTGATATTCGAGATAATCATCAGTGTGGTAGTGGGGCAAGACCAGCTCAGGCACCCTCTGCTCTGCTGCCCAACTTCTCTATGTCTTTTGTCAGGTAATCTGCCTGATTCTGTGACAGAGGAAAGAAAAAAAAAAACAGAATGACTACAAAAGATTATTATATTGATTTAATTTTCTAAGACTTTCAATAATATATAAATCTTTTTCAAGATTTGTAAGTTTACTGAATGTAGGTAAAAATCTTTAAAATCTGTGACAAAAAGTTAACTTAAAACTCATGACACATGGTTGATAGTTAGAACTCTCTATATAGGTAATCTTAAAGGAACCATGTCACATGATATCATCTTAGAACATAAGAAATATGTGGCTTACTAATGTCTTAGTTTGTGTTTCCCATCAGGATAGAGGCAGCTAGGTGTACGTAGCTAAGTTCACTAGGTTTAGAGTGGAAGGATGTAATGTGAGTACAGCACCATCTTAATTAAGGGTGACAGCATGGTTTTGGTTGAGAGAGAGAGAGAGAGAGAGAGAGAGAGAGAGAGAGAGAGAGAGAGAGAACAGCATGTTTCAAAGACATTTTGGGTTGGAGTAGATTTTTGCATGATGTTTCTTGTCCTGAAAACAAGGTTTATTTAAAAATACTTAAAAAGCAATGCTTGCTTAATAAAGTATTAAAGTTGCATCTCAATGTTTAACAAAATATTAACGAGTGTACCTAATGTGGACAGCAGACCTTTGTAATGCAATATTGACCCAGCTGGTATTGGCTTTAAAGGTGTGCAAGGGACATGGAAAAAGGATGAACCTTGGAAGCACGTGACAGGGCTAGAGCTCCTAACGAAAGGCCAGTTACAATGGGTAATAGTCATTAGAAGTTCCAGCTATTTTGATGGATTGAAAGAAAACGGTCCACAAAGGGAGGGGCACTATTAGGAGCTGTGGCCTGGATGGAGAAAGTGTGTCACTGTGAAGTCAGAGTTCAAGCCACAGCCAGTGAGACAGACCAGCTCCTGTTGCCTGTGAATGAAGATGTAAAGACTCTCAGGTATTTCTCCAGAGCCATGTCTATCTGCATGCCACCACGTTGCACTATGATGAAAATGGACCAAACCTATGAAAATGTAAGCTACCCCAACTAAATGGTTTTCCTTCATAATAGATGCTATGGTCATGGTGTCTCTTCACATCACTAGAAACCTAAGACAGATACTTTATAAAGGGCACTTTAATACAGCAGCCCACAGCTGAGAGATTTTAAACTTCTTTAAAAGAAAATTTTGAGTTTTAGAGGAAATTTAAATGAAAGAAAACTGGACTTTTTGTTTTTAAAGGAACATCTTTTAAAAATATTACAATCTACAAAGCTTTGGAATATTTTAAGTTTATAAAATGGTTTATTTTATGATGTCTTCATTAGTATTTTACCTTAAAAATTTATAAAATATTTTTACTCTCTTAAGATGAGTCTACTCCAACTGTCTTACAGACAAATCTTAGCTAGTTTTTTTTTTTCAGTATAGATTTTAAGAACACAAACAGTGGTAATTTTACTGTATCTAAAATTTTTATCACTTTGTAAACTAAATAATACCGTGTACGTTTCATAGAATTAAGGGAGTCATAAGGCTTACTTAACCTCTCAGAGGTCAAACAGACTCCAAGTAAGTACAGCTTAATTTTCCCCAACTGCCTAATCCTGAGAATGGATCTTTTGTCTCTGTCTCTGTCTCTGTCTTTGTCTCTCTCTCTCTCTCTCTCTCTCTCTCTCTCTCTCTCTCTCACTCTTCCCCGCTCATCCGGTCTTAGAATGCTTTCCCTCTCTCACCTAACAGGATAATAGACATGAAAGTTCCAAATGTATGGTTTTGCTTTATGTTTCTAAACTTTAACTTCTGTGCCTAGTCTATACCCTTCACAACAGTTTTCTACTTGGCTGACGGACACCATTCAGAAATCAGTTGGAGACTACAAACTTCTCCAAATGGCTGTGAGCTCTGGATTTTGAGAAAGCTGATGTGACCCAGTGCAGCTGTGATTGATCCCTTTCTATTCTGCTTGGTCAGCTAACCAGACACTTCTGACGAATGCTTCATTTCCTGAATCTTTCCTGAACTTCTCTCTTTTATTTTTAATTCCACCCTCCTTGTGCCCTAACAACTACATCATGGTTTCAGCAGGAAGTAATTACAGGAGAGAGGTTGTTGCTGCTTGTCTTCAACAAGATAGAATATTAGGAAAAAAGGAAACTCTTAGGCATGGGGATAAAATGTCTACCTGTAGTCCTGTAGGTGGAGACTACTCATTCATTTCCTGACTGCTCATACCTGAATAATCACATAGAAACTGTATTAATTACAACATTGCTTGGCCGTAGCTTATTCATATTCATAACTAGCTAAGTTACCCCATTTCTATTATTCTGTGTATTGCCACGAAGCTATGGTATTCCAGGTAAAGTTCCGGTGTCTGTCTCCTTCAGGAACTACATGGTGTCTTTCTGACTCTACTTATCCTCTCTCTGTATCTTTTCCAGCCTTGCTATATTCTGCCCTACTATAGGTAGAAGTAGCTTCTTTATTAACTTATGGTGATAAAACATATTAATAGCATGCAGAGCAGAATATGACATCATATTCTCTTTTCTGTCTAAATAAAAAGTGAGGGTTTGACATTAATAGAGTAAAATTACATATAACAAAACAGGTATCATCCAAGAATTAGAGTTACAATATTTAGTTTATTTGTTTCTGGCAAATTAAATGAAATATGCTATTATTTATTTTATCTTTGTGAGACTAAAGTTTCATATCTTATTTATCTTTTATCATAACTAAGAAAAATTTGATATCTGTCTTCAACTCCTCAAAGACCACACAGAAGGAGATAAAAGCATCTTAGTAACCAGGAAGTGCATTGTAAGAAACGTCCAAAACTTTAGAATTGACAGAGACATGTTGTTGCCTTTCTGTAATGTTGGGGGCATCCATTTTCAGTCTATAGGCCTATAGTATGTATCAGATATTTTCATGAAGTAGGAAATTTGAAGATCTGTCTTGCAATGGCAAAGTCCATCAGTTGCTTTCTTCTGTGTCCTACAATATGTCCAGCAGACTCTTTCTTGAAGGAGGAACCTTGAAGGACTGTCTCACCTTTAGACAAGTTCAGCAGTCACTTTTCTGTGGGTCCTTCATGTCCAGTTCACACAATGTATCATAAAGCAGTCTAGGCAAGAGCATTTTCTTGTCCAAATGGCTAACAAACTCCTTAAGGAGTCTCTTCTATGCTCATTATCCACTGGAAGTAGATTGGTACTGCCAGATGTGTCTCATGATCATGAAAAGTTTAAATTCTTAAAAAATTTTAAGTGCCATATTTCATATTCTTTGGAGTATTGAAGATTATCTATGTAACTTAAATATATCTCTGTATATCTAGAAAATCATCTACTTGACTACTATTTTGAATATTATAAATGACTATCTATTAATCTGTATTTCATAACTATACATTACATTTTAAAGGAGCCACACAAACACAATACCTTAAACGAGAGCAGAATATACATACATACATACATATATATGTATATGTATGCATATATATATACACACAGTGTAAGAAAATTGACTTTAAATCTGTTTCAATAGACTAATATTCATACCAATGCCAAGTATTTATCTCTACATCATTTCCCCTTTATTTATTTATTTAGAAAATGACTGTGATCATTAAAATGAAAATAGACATTTATAGACAATCATTTTGGGAATTTTGGCATCGTTTTCTCCAAACCACCTCCTACTGTTTGTTGGCTAAAGAAAATATTTTTAGGGGTTCACAAAGACCTTTTGAGGGGCCTTATTCCATTCATCAAATCATATTAGTCTGGAAGGAATTCATAGGTTCCCATCTTCTATGGAAACAAAAGAAGAACCTGGTTTTCAAAGCAACAGATTCTTAGACTGAATTTTGTAAGTCAAGATACCTTTCATTTATTTAATTTAATTGATTTAGCTTAGCAGTCCCCAGAATCAAATATCTCTCTGAAATTAAAGTTAAATGAAAACACAAATCAGACTCTTTTTGTATATTCCATATTTATGTGACTTCTTTTTTAACTCCTTTAATCTGTGACTGTTCTCTGTCTCTTTAAAGAATTGCTTTATTTTTAAAAACTACTTCTTCTTATAACTGTCTACACTCTTTTTCCTCTCACTCCCCAGTCTACATACATTTATCCAACACTGTGAGCCTTTCAGAGGTCTTTTTATCTGAATCTGTCTTTATTACAGATCTGTAATCATTTTCTGACCAGGAGCTCCTTTTTTTTAAAATGCTAAGCAGGTGTGGCTAGCACCAATTCCTTAGCTTTGTCTGTTTGCTCTACCCAGTCCAATATGGTGGAGGCATGTTCACCTCCAGTTCTGTGAGTCATGCTCACCACTGCAGCTCCAGGGATGAGCGAGTCATGTTGCCATTAAGTATTTAGTTGCTAGCTGCTTACAAATGCCATTTACATGCAGGACTTCTGGAAAGAGCTAGAGTTTTTGTGCTACCAGCTTGAACCAGAAAGGTGACTCATAAAGAAGCTGCTCTGTTTTTACTGCTAATGCTGAATCAGGAAGTCTCTTAAAGGATCTGTGCCTCTGCTTGTCACCAGAAACAGAATCTATCTGAAAAAATGTGATTACCAAGAAACTGTGCTTAACTCTGTTTATTTGTGTCTAGCATTCCCTTCTAAGCTCTCTCAGTTCTTACGTGGATGTAATTGCCCCACATGGGCTTACCATCTGTAAACAGAAACTGCTCATTCATTTTCTAAGTGCTCATACCTTAATAATTACACAGAAACTATATTAATTACAACACTGCTTGGCCAATAGCTTAGGTGTACTCTTGGCTAGTTAAATTAATCCATTTCTATTATTCTGCGTCTCAACATGAGGTTGTGACTTACGGGGTAAGGTTCTGGTGTCTGTTTCTTTCAACAGCTACATGGCATCTCTCTGACTCTGCCTACCATCTCTATATACCTCTTCTAGCCTTGGTGTGGGAAAATGGTATGTATTCTGTCAATTATATTTTAAATAAACGCTGATTGGCCAGTAGCCAGGCAGGAAGTATACGCAGGACAACCAGACAGGAAGTAGAGGCAGGTCAATGAGAACAGGAGAATTCTGGGAAGTAGGAAGTCCATTTCTCTGTAGTTATGAGCCTGCCACAGAAGAAGCAAGATGTGACTGCCTCACTGAATAAGGTACTGAGACACATGACTAACATAGACAAGAATAATGGGTTAAAATAAGTTATAAGAGTTAATAAGAAGCCTGAGCTAGTGAGTTAATCAGTTTATCATTAATGTAGACCTCTGTGTGATTTCTTTGGGACTTAATGAATATGGGAACTAGGCAGGACAGAAACCACAGACAACAAATTCTGCCCTGCTATAGGTCAAAACAGCTTTTTTATTAACCAATGGTACTAAAACATTGATAGCATACAGAAGGGAATCCCACATCACTAGTTCTAATGGTGTACCAAGAAAAGTACTTTAAAAAAATAGACCCAGATCTACCAATAAGTAGATCTTTCAGCTGATATAGTTCTATAATATGATAGGACCCTAAACCTGTTCTATATAGAACAAGAGGTATTATATGGTTTTAAGAGAAGATTGTTTTATGTAAATCACTCTTATGTCTTATGTAAGTCACTTTAATTCTCAGTAGAGAAATCCTGTCTGCAATCAGAAATCATCACAAAAAATAGGGGACCAAAGATGAAAGATGGAAATTTCTCATTCTTATATTGAGTCTGATATATGACATCATAGAGTCTTTGGACCTTTTTTTCTGCTATTACTATGGGTTCTTGTATCACTAATGTCATAACTAGATACACAAGTTTCTATTTGGGTGCAATTAAGCTAATGGTTATTATATTTCAATACAAAAAATACCCACTACATAGTCAATGGTTTGGATCAGGATAACAATCAAAGGGACTGGGAAGGAAGTGCAAAAGCTTCCTTGTAAGCCCCACTTTCCCAGGGACAGAAAATGTCCTAGAGTGCTGGAGGCTGTTTTTATTGTAAGCTAATAAGTCACATTTTTTTCACTGCAATAAACATAGCTGGTTGCCCCAACTGCACAGGATATGTGTGAGCACATGTATGTAGGAGATAGGTAGAATAAAGTACATCAGGATGTATGTGTACTCTAAATTAGATGAAAGCAGAAAGTACTGTATCCTTTTGGGTTTTGGGTTCATGAGCAACTGGCACACCTAATTTAGCATAGGGAATCCTGAGTATGGATCTGACCAGTGCTTGTCTGGCCAGTATTAAATAAAGCTTTCAAAATTGGACAATTGTGGATTTGTTCTCTTTCTTTGCAATTTTTAGGTTTGACAATGGCAAGCAGCTCTATGATCTAATATATGCTGCAGATGGATGAAGAGTTAATAATTCATATTCTTAGTCTTCAGAAGAAACAGAAAAATAATAAAATCTATTTATGTGTGGTTCAACTGACCTGTGTGTCACAATTTTTCAAGTAGGTCTAAAGGTCTTCAGACGGAGTAGATTATATTCAGTAAGTAACTTACTTCATTGTCCATTCATTGATCACCTGCTTCCTTATAAACTTTCTACTTCCTTCTTGGTGGAACTTTCTTGATAAATAGGAAAAAAAGTAAAATCTAAAGATCTTTTTCTAGGGAAACTTAAGAAAGGTGTATCTTTATAGCAAATTATTGTTTTCTTCAGGGATAAGATAAGAAGGAAAAAATTTAATGAAAAACAGCACAAAAATAAAGATAATAGTCATGTAATGTACTTTGAAAGCAGAGAAATTAATAACACCAAAACCATACTACCAGGAAAACCTATTTACAGACAAGATATACAAATTGAAAGATAGAATAATGTGTAAGATACTATAATTAAGGGGTAGTGACTGTGCTAGAGTTATATTTCTTTGCTTACAGCCATATAATCATTGGATTAATATATTAGAAATTCTTCAGATTTGCATGTATATGTAAGACATGTTCTTCAAGTATTTTTATTGATACTTCAAGGATTTTATCCAAAGTTTCAAATGGTGTTCGTGTTTCCTCATTCATATCTGGTAAATAGAGCACAATTGTGGTCTCTGTGGAATTTCGATAAACAAATACCTCAACTATTTATTCAAATCACTATTAGAACAAAGAGAGAGAGAGTCCTTAGTGGGATACTAAGATATTGAGACCCTGTTGGGCTTTAATGTTAACTAGTGAGCAGATCCCTTTCCTTTCTTCCTTTTCCTCTTTCGTACTCTTGTTTCTCATATAACCTTTCATATAATCTACTGAGCTCCAGGCTATTGTCTGTCTCTAATTAAGGAAAAAACAACATTAGCCAGGTGAAGAAATATATTGTTAGAACAAACCCTCAAACAATATGCAAATAAAGTGAAAATAAAAAGTATAATTACAGTACAAGTGAGGCAAAGCAATAACAGAAATCAATAGCATCTAGGTGTGGAGGTAAGGAACATGTATACATTTTCTGGTTGATATAATGTGTTCATTTAAATAAAATTAGAAATGGAAAAGGCATAAACTTAAAAATCTATTATTTTTTTTTAAAGTATAAATCTGAATGTCTTTGTGAGGACATGTGAACATGAGTGAAGAAGCTCACAAAGTCCAGAAAAGAGAACCAGAGGCCTGAGTGCTAGAGTTATAGGCCCTACATTGATCCTAGAAACAGAACTTCATTTTTCTGGATGAGCAAGAAGACGTGATAACCACTGAGCAACTTCTTAGGCCTCTTAAAAATTTTTCTTCAAAAAAGAAACAGGATAAATATATTAAATTATAATTGTTTTAAATTGTATAGTGTTCAAGTAGCATGATAATATGAAATGACAAAAATAGTTTATTAAAATATATTTAATAAAACACACATGATTGTAAATGACTTCAAAGATTTCAAGAGTCATTCTAAATGTAGAATAACTGAGAGTTTATAAGTTTCTTGTATGACATAATTTTGCTTTATGAATTTATAAGATGTAGACCTAGACTATTAAAGAAATCACTGTCATTGTAATAGATTTTAAGGCCAAAAATTGTGATTAAAAATGATAATTACAAAATGATTATGTTTTTATGAAGTGAAATTCGAAAACAATTTATTTCAAAATAGAATGTCATTAATATCATAATTAAATGTGATGAAACTTTCTCAGAAGTTAAAAACAATTCAAAATCATTATCAGCATGAATGACTTGAGAAAAAAAATATTTCTAACTTTGTAGTCAGAGGCAGATGGATCTCTGAGTATGAAGCCAGCCTGGCCTACAAAGCGAGTTACAGGATAACCAGGGCTACAATGAGAAACACATTCTTGAAAAAAAAAAAAAGAAAAGTATATAAGGAAATAGAAGACATCCTAATGCAGAAAAATAACATATACTTTATGGAGAAACTGTAAAGGTCATTTAGTATTATAAGTTCATTGAAAACAAATGTTATAGACATAATACATGAATACTATTAATATCATGAATTCCATATATATTTTCTGCAGATTCAACCTACTTTCAATAGAAATGAGGAGTTTTAATCTTATTTACTTTTGTCATATATCCTTGCAGTGAGATTTCATTTGTATTTTGATAACTAAATCTTGTCTGAAAACCAGAGCACAAAACAGCCGCAGTAGTCAGCCATACAGGCCAGGCAGTGCTAGCACACACACCTTAATTTCACATATCTTCAGTCCCAGCAATCACACTAGTTAGCAATAGAGGCTAGGTGGTGTTGGTATACACCTTTAATCCCAACAACACTAGAGAAGGATGAGGCTTTTCTCTTCTGGTCTTCAGGTTGAACCCCAGTACCTGTTTCTGGGTTCTTATGATTCTTCCTACATATACTAGTTTATATAAAATAAATACTGGCACTCTAGAATTCACAACATACTTACCGTATTGCCAGCTATATTTCTGTGCTCACAAACTTGGGTACAGAATAATAGAAGAGTAAACAACATATGTAGGATTTCCCTATGCTGTGATTACCATTAATGAATAAAGAAACTGCTTTGGACCTATAGCAGGAAAGAACTCAGCTAGGTTGGGAAAACAAGATGAATGCTAGGATGAAGAAAGGTGGTGTGAGAGAAATGCCATGGAGCCCCACTGGAGACAGACGTCGGAACTTTAGCCGGTAAGCCACAGCCATGTGGATACACGGATTAATAGAAATGGGTTAAATTAATATGTAAGAGTTAGTCAATAAGAAGTTAGAGCTAATGGGCCAATCAGTGATTTATATAATATAGTTTCTATGTGATTATTTTGGGGCTGAACAGCTGGAAACAAATAAGCACCCCTCCTTACAACAACCAATGAAGAATTTTAAAAAATGCTTTTTTTATATAATTTCTTCTTCATTTATTTTACATAATGACCATAGTTTTCGCACCTTCCCCTCCTCCTGCTCCTTTTCTCTACTGTCCTACCCCTAGATCCACACCTCTGTCTCTATTCAGAAAAGGGTAGGCCTTTCCACGGCAAGTCAACAAAACATAAAACACATTAAGTTGACTTAGGACCAAGCTCCTCGCCCTATATTAAGGTTGGGTGAGGAAACCCAATACAAGGAACAGTTTCCCAAAAGCCAACTGAAGAGCCAGGAACAGGTCCAGATCCCACTGCTAGGAGCCCCACAAAGAAACCAAGCTATGCACTTCTGACACATGCAGAAGGTCTTAGTTGGCCCCATGCAGGCTCCTTGGCTGTTGTTCCAGAGCCTGTGAGTTCCCAGGAGCTTAGGTCAACTGTCTCTCTGGGTTTGCTTGTCATGACCTTGACCCCTGGCTCATATAAACCTCCTGGAGCTCAGCCCAACATGTTTGCATCCTTACGAAGCAAATGTCTTACAAAGCAAATGTCAAAAAAATTCACATTGAAATCAGAGTCATTAAACTGAAAGAAGACAATTTGAGGAATTGTATATGAAATGGCCCTATGCTCTGAAAAAAGGAACATTTAATAATATTAACTGAAAATTCGTTTTGTTAAAAAAAGTAAAGAACTAATGGCATAACTCCACTTATATATTCACTATTGTATCTAAAAATGTTCAGATTCAGAATACATAATGATGAGCCAAGAAGCATTAGATTTTTAAAAATCTAGATTGCTATTTATTAAGTTATATTTAATAAAAGGGAAACAATATTCTATAACTGTTTAGAAATAATCAGGCTTTATAGGCCATGGGAAATAAAAATTAATTCTATGAATTGCACACATCTTGCTTCACATCCTTCAGATACATTATTAGAAACAGATAAATTCTTGTTGTCATTGACTTTGAATAATCATTTTATTATATCAGTTTACTAAAGGATAAAACAAATCCCATTAGGAAATATTTAATCAAATTATGATGTATTGAGTTTCCAGTTTATTAAAAAAAGTGCTGGTGAATTATAGTATAATATTAGGTGCTGAATATGATTTCGCTCTATGTCTTAGTTACAATTTTTATTGCTGTGATGAAACATGATGATCAAAGCAATATGGGGAGGAAAGGGTTGATTTGATGCTTGTCTTGTCATAAACACAGATGAATCTTCAGCCCCAGCTATTGTATTTTTATTTGGGTCAATGTATCATTTTCATAAGGTCATCATACACTCTTGTGCATTTTCCACTGTTTCTTCACTTTTCTTCACTGATGCAAAATGGAGATAACCATAGTAATCAAAATAATTCAGATTCAGAACAAACACATTCAGAAAACTGTACTTATTCTCTCATTTTAAAACCCTGTATTTTATGAATAATAAATACACTGACAAATTAATAAAAATGAAGAGAAAAGAAATAAAGAGAGAATGAACCAAAGGGAGAAAGATAGAAGGCTGAAAACATCTCATAGTTCAAGTGTAAGGGTAAAACCATAGCCCATCACACACATATGCACATACAGCTTATCCAACAACTGTCAATGACAGATCACAACTGTCTTTTTCTCCAATTACAAAGGGATATAAAGAAATCTGGCACAGACAAACTGACAAATAGTAAATATAAATTTATATCAAGGAAAAAATAGACACATCTGATCGACTTTTTATATTAAAAATTGATGAATGTGCACATACATGATACAAAGATAGTAAGGAGATATTCTTTAGCAGTGGAAGGTGTACACTTATTGTTTTTTAAGGAAGATATGAAAGTTCCATACAATATATTCATGAAATAGATTTTATATAAATAATTAACTTATATAGGTGTACATGAAAGTATACATGGCATGAAAATAGAGAGAATATTGTCTTGAGGGATGTAAGGATCAATTTATTGTTATTAAGGAAAGTAGGAATGTACCCCACAACATGTTCATGATATTTTCAACATCAGGATTTAAGGATAAGCAGATAAAAATGGACAAAGTAGTGGAAAAGCTAGAAATTATAGTATATAGTAAGAATTCAATTTTACAACTATAGTATTCATGAAGTT